CTTGGTCTTTCTTGCTCTTGTTGCTGGTTTTCTTCAAATAGCTGATGATCTCTGGTTGACCACTCATATTTGAGATTGAGGCACCAAAAGGTAGACTGAGGGGGCTCTGTATTTGGGGATGGGAGGTGTTGTGTGGTAGGCTTCCATTTGGAACTGGTAGGGAGAAAACTGGAGTCCACTCCCCAACCCAGGGAGGTAAGTACTATGCACAAGTTCTGAGATCACACACCTGCTCCAGCTGCCTTTGAAGAGTTGATCCCACAACTGTGATACTTTGCATGATCATCACCCAACAGCCTGTAAAGCTCCAAGTGCAGGGCCAGCCATGTGGTTTCTTTGTCTCCTCTTCAGTTTCAGTCAACACCTCACTCTCACCCTCTGTTCCCAAGTCTTAGATGCCCTCAAGCATTCTGTTCCAACTCTCTATTTGTTATGGTTCTGGCGTCTGCTGATTTGTTCCCTCAGTGGAACTTCCATCCACTTCCACTCGCCAGAAAGAGGTGGTGTCTTTCTTTTATCACAGGGCGGCCTCTGCTTCTCTTCGGCATCATGGTTTGTGCTATCCTACCTTTACCATCAGTTTAGTAGAGTCCTGTCATGGGAAAGGAGCATGTGTGAGGCTCCATCTATTGGCTTAATCCAGAAGTTGCTGAGGGAAGTTGATCAGATAGAAGAAGTGCAGGCAATGACTTCAGAGTTTTAGGCACTGCTGTTAGTGAAGGTTTGTCACGAACAGTCACACATTTCAGAGATGCCAACTGCAGGGTCATGATGTGGGGAGAAGCAGCAACCAGGAGGGTTTTGTTGAAATATAGGCCCAAGCATGAAATCCTGGTACATTTTCCTGCATGCTTGTTACCCTCTTTACACAGGGGGACTCTGAGGTCAGAGTCTTATAATTCTTCTAGGTTTTGCCAGTAATTCTACTTCTGAATGGACCACTGTACACAAAGTGGGAGGCTAATAAATCCTGGACAATGAAAATAGTCCATTGAAATGGTATCCAGATTCCAGAGTCACTGAATTTCTAAGAGCAAGTGACACATCCACCTATGCATCCACTCAATGTGTTTCTGTGTTCAATCTGTTCTCTTTTCAATCTGTTTCCCCAGCTGCTGGGGGAACAAAGATAGTTGGACACAATCCCTCCCACAAGCTTATGGGACCTCAAGGTCTTTTGGTGTTCATCAAGCCCAGGATATGTACACACAAGTTAGGATCTCAAAGAAGTGGGACCTTAATTGGAATATAATGCCTACAAGTGTACACAAGTTAGTGAGGCCTTACAGAAAAGCCAAGTGTAGTGGGTCTCAGGTATATGCAGATCTGTCAGTTTGACTCACCCACTGAAACTCAGTAGCTGTGAGGCAAAGTCACACATTAGAAACATATTAACTTGATTTCTTTGCCTCATAGGCCAACAGTAGGAATTGCGAATGATGGAACTCCTGATTTATACAGACTTGCTGAAAAACAGACAATGTTTGTGTTTCTTTCCCCAACTCACTCCCACTTTTATGAGCACTGTTAAGTTTCATTTCAGCATGTTAAATAATTTGTGACTCACTGAAATGAAACTTAACTCAGTCCTCGTAAAAATAGAATAAAATGGCATTTCCATGTTTCATGTTATGGTTTGAATCAGCCCGCTATTTGGAGCTTAATGGAATCTGCTCAAAATGCCATTTGGGAGCCTCTCGTCCCCTCCATTCCCTACCAACTAGTCACTGCTTGTCAGAATTTCCCAGAACTCCTCTGCCACCCCAAAATAGCAAAATTTATAGCTGAAGGGAACAGAGGAAAAAGCTAGTAAGTGAACCATGGCAATATTTCTGTAAGCACTGTCTTATACAAAATATGGATGATCTCTACCTTTTATCCATTATAATCAGATAATAGTATTGATGAATAAGTACAGATCCTCTGTTTACTAAACTCCTGAGATTTTTTTTTACTACTATTCTTCTCTTTAACCAATTTTTCTTGCCTTACTCATTCACAAGTACCATAGGAATCCAGAATATTCTACTTGGGCAATTACTGTAACTAGGCATCAATACTGTACTTATACTTAATTTCTAATACTTTTTTATTTTTAAAAAGATGTTACTTATTCTAGAGAGAGCAAGAGAGAGAGAGTGAGGGAAAGAGAGAGTTGGGGGGGGAGTATGCAAGCACATGTGCAGGGGCGGGGGGGGGAAGTCTTAAGCAGACTCTGCACTGAGTGTGGAGCCCAACACATGGAGCTTGATCTCATGACGCTGGGATCATGACCTAAGTCAAATACTCAACCAACTCTGCCCCTCCCCACACGCCCCTAACTTCTCATACTCTATTCAGCAATGTTCAACTTCATTATAAAACTTAACTGTGACTTTACTAAGTTGGATTCTTGTGAGAATTGAATTCACAATGGGCTGAACATAACCTTTATGGTTTTTCTCTGAGGATTAAGAATTGTCAGAAAAATTACAGGTGGTATTTTTAAGTTCTTTCAGAAAGTGAGTAGTTTCTCAGGGACTTAATCTCGTGAGGTGCTTCCAGGTACATGCTGCCACCCCCTACCAGGATGATGGGCTTTCTGTGAGGATTGGTAGGCTGCCTGGAGGAGCTGGTAACTGAGACACATCCATACAGAGGAGATGGTACTTCTGAGACCAACAGGGGTAGGGCAAGGCTCTGATGAGCATGAGCCTACCCACCTGCCACAAAACATCATGAAAGGGGCACTGTCTGCACCTGGGTGCCCCAGTGCTCCTGTGTTAAGGGGTGGTGGTTGGTTAGGCTAGTCTCACTGCAGGGGTCAGTAAATGCAATGACCATGATGGTGGTGAAGGCATCTGAGATAGATTAGGGGGTAGGCATGGGTGGGGTGGCATTCAGGACTGGGAAGGCAACTGTACCTGTCACATCCAAGTGCAGGGCAAGTGCACCATCACATCTAAGTGCAGGGCAGGCTCTGTCTCAAAGGTGCCAGATGACCATAGACTTCAGGTTATTAGAGACCCTGAGAGGCATCTCATCCATATTGTTCTCACTGAAAAACTGGCTATTTTGCTGTCATGGCACAGGGAAGATTCACTAATTGACAAGCGTGTGGTTGGTTCCAAGGTCATAGAAAGGGCCCATTGGCACTGGTCACTTAGAGCTGAAATCATGTCTGGCCACTTAATACTGACCCTGCTGGCCAGAAATTTCAGGATTCTTAGAAATGCCTGCATGCTGGCAAGAACATTGCAAAAGACGCTGGCAAAAGCCCAGAGGTGGCTCAGATGGTGCTGCTCTAAAGGGTACAAGTGCTTTTACTTGGAAAACTGTCACTAAAGAAATGTTCATCATTGTGCTGTAGCAAGGTCTGTTTAAGTGAATAATTTAGGAAAGAAAAACCTCCTGCACTTGACTTGCTAATAGGTTTGCAGAGAAATGCTGGCAATTCCTCATTTCAGTGACAATGATAAGACCTGTGTTCACACCGCTTCAGGCCCTGCACATTCTCCACAACAACAGCACAACCTCGAGGGCCCAGCTCCACTACCGTCACTGCTTCCTTCCCATAAGGATGCCTTGCCAAGACGCTTGGGCACCCAGTGCCTATCACACACACACACACATATCTGAATTGATAACAAAGCCAGGCAGTGCTAAAGGAGTCTGGATATTGTCAAGCTTTTTCAGGAAAAATCCCAGGTTGGGACTAGTTTGCGCTTTGCAGGGGGAAAAAAATCTACTAGGGTTGAAATGGCCACAGGCACCACCCTAGAAGTTGTGTTTGTGTCTGTGTCTTTCTGCCTTCCTCTCTTTTACTCCATCTGTCTTCATTGATTCACCAAAACGTTGCCCTTGGCCAGGTGTTGGGAAATAGAACAAACAGGATGCACTACCTTTTGGGGTCAGTGGGTCCCAGGCCTGGAGGCAGGTTTCTGGCACTAGTGCTGTTAAGGGGAATGACAGTTTCTCTCCCCTGTGATCCTTGGAATTTACAATTTTTCAAATGTTTTTAAGATTTCCATGAAACAGAGCATCAGAGATGGGTGTTGACTTTGGGAGGTGTGGGCACTCCAAAGCATCAGTAGTCACATGGCTCCTGAGACACAGCTTCTCTTTCCCTAGCAAAATGAGAAGGCCCCTCAGGGGCCCTTGGTGACTAGATTCCTTGCTTACTCTCATGCTGCAGGTGCTGGTCCATGGAGGCCAAACAAGGTAAAGTGAAAATCGGAAGCAAGACCTGGTTTTCCTTTCTGTGCCAAGTACATAGCACTCCTGCTATTCATCTGCTGGCTTAGGGCTCTGGGAACAATTGCCTCTTCCAGCTCTTTTTGGGCTCACCTGCTGAGAACATGGCTGAGGGAGCCTGGACTCAACCATGAAGGTAGCATGTGTCCATGGCTAAGGGAGAGGACTCTTCTCATGATAGGTGGGGATCAAACTGGGTTTTCAGGAAATACGGCACATGTAGCATAATGGAGGGTGGTACTACCTGAGTCATGGCCCTCTGGGTGTTGGAAATACACAGCCTCTTGACTCCCTACCCCAATTCCAGCTGCTGCACACATCAGGAGGATGCCCATTCTTATGGATAAATAGTCCTGTTATACTACCTGAGAAGGAATCTGCACTGTTCTACTCTATCTGTTGTAGGTAAACACAGTATAACTTGTCCAACAATATATTCATACACATCTTCCAGTCTTACCTTAGTATTTTACCTTTTCTTTCCTTTGTCAGAATGACTAAAGTTATTTTAAGATTTTTGAGGTTATTATGTTGCCACTATTTTTCCAGCCACCTCAACTCCCAGTTGGCCTGTAGGTGGGCTTTATGCTCAGTCACTGCTCAGGGAGGGAGGGGTGCCAGGTTGCAGGAGATAGCACCACTGGTGTCTTCTTGAGAAAATCCGTTTCAAGCCTCCCGAAAGTTTTGCCCCACTGTGAAACCTTCTGGGGTGAGGGAGCCTCCCCTCCAAAGGAAGCCCCACAAAAGACACAAGGAAAACACATCACCTGGCACTTGCCGTGCACACAGAGGTCGGTCTCATAGGGCCCGCAGGGTGTGCCATCCAGGACCCTGTCAGCCACCAGCAGTGGGGACTCCTTCCCAAGAGGTGAGCAGTAGAGTTCACATGGTTTATCTGAGGAGGGAAAGAGGAAGGTGGACATTGATATAGGAAGGGGTTTGTAGGCCATGAAAGGTGCAGGTGCATGAAGGCAATGAGCTGGCAGGGTGCAGGTGCATGTAGGTGGTGGCCCAGAGGCTGAGAGGTCAGTATGGAATAGAGGTCACAGAAACCCAGCACATGTTCCTCAGAGACATGCACCTGCCCCTTGGAACACAACCCAGCAAATAGAGAAGGATCCTCAGACATAGGTAAACAACACATGAGTGAGGGCTCTGTAGGCTTTTATTCACCTAATTCTCTTCATCCTTTGTAAACGTATAGTATTCCTTTTCCTTAAGGCATTAAAAATACCATGCTGAACAAACATTTTGTTGTGTGCTAACCCCTGAGTTGAATATGTATCAAGGGAGAGCCTGGGAGCTTATCTTGTTGTGGGGGTGGGATAGAGGGAGAAGGTGAATGAGCATGCCTCTGGGTAGGAGGGGGTGTGGTCCCTATGTATGTCTCTATAGCAGTGGCTTTTGCTAAGTGCCTTAGTGTTCCACCAGCTGCTGGATAAAAGCTTCAGGGCTGTGATATGCAGCAAGAAGGTCCTGGAAGAAACTGGGAGGGAGTAAAGCATAGGAACACAGGAGCCTCCAAGACAACTTGTAAGGGTCATATTACCAGGCAGGAGGGAAACACTGGTTTCTGCTGCTCTTGGAACCAAGTGAGCTCCTAGAACATGACAAGCTCTCATAGCCTTTGCTTAGGCTGTTCCTTTGCCTGAAAATCCCTCTCTGCACAAAGCTTTCTGGAAGTTTCCTATTACCCCAGAAGCTTCTACTCCAGAGCTCTCTCCTCTCATGCCATCTCTGACATGGAATCTCCATCTGCACTTTGCATACACCTCCTCAAAGCCCTTAACCATTATCTTATTGACTTATAATTGTTTGAGTAACTTATGTATAAGGGGATTTCTTTTAAGGTGGGTTCCATTTCTAAAAGAGTTTGGATCTTATTTATCTTTAGATTGATTGAAGAACTGACAGTACTGGAGACTACAGAGGACAAGGTACTGAAATTTTAATCTCTTGTCCCCAGGCTAGGCCAAGGACTTGACTCATAGAAGGACTTGGTAAATATTTTAATCTTTCCATATAAACTTTAGAATGAGTTTGTCGATATCCCCAAAATAACTTGCTGGGATTTCACTGGGATTGCACTGAATCAAGTCAAGAGAGAACGGACATCTTGATAGTATTGATTTTTCCTATCCACGAACATGGAATATCTCATTTAATTCTTTTAATTCATTCATCAGAATTTTCCTCACATATATCTTCTACATACAGTGTTAGATTTATTCCTAAATATTTCATTTTGGGGGTTGTCAGTGTAAATGGTATTGTGTTTTTAATTTTAAACTCCATCTGCTCTTTGCTGGTATATAAGAAACTGAGTGATTTTGTACATTTATATCTTGCAACCTTGCTATAATCGCTTACTAGTTCCAGAAGGTTTTTTTTGTTTGTTTGTTTGTTTGTTGATTCTTTTGTATTTTCTACATAGATGATCATGTCATCTGCAAACAAAGGTAGTTTTATTTCTACCTTCCCAATCTGTATATTTTTAATTTCTGTTTCTTGTCTTATTTGCATTAGCTAGGACTTCCAGTGTGATGTTGAAAAGAAACAGTGAAAGAAGAAATCCTTGCTTTGTTCTTGATTTTAGGAGAAAAACTTCAAGCTCATTTTTAAATAAATGAATAGATTTTCTTCTTCTCTGAGAAGGATGAATGCACCCTTATCTTTCTCTCAGTTATAAATCTAATGACATTTATGTGACATTATGTGATTATTCTATAAAGAAACCTCCAAAGAGAGAAACACTAATACCTTTGTGCTGCTTCCGTCAGGCCCTTTGTTTCCACCATTGGGTCCTTTTCCCCACTGGGTCCTTCCAGTGGTCTCAGATGATCAAGAGCAGGGGAAGAGAAAGGCTTCTGGAGTTTACTTGGTCTCAGAAGACCTTGGAATTCCAGCTAGACAGTTCTTATCAGAGCAGATGTGTTGTCCCATCCAGGGTCTGTGGCTTTCATGACTGAATGACATTCACTAAACCACCAACATGTTCAGCAGCTTTCCAAAGCTCCTGTCTCATGGAGCTTTGCTGACCGACATGCCCAGTAGGATGTCTTGCCTTAGAACACTGTAAAGAAGCTACAGAGGTTCACTGGAAACATTCAACTTGTTTGTTAGAGTTAGTTGTGGAGGTCAGGGGAAACTGCTGTGAAGAGTAGCTTCCCAGGTAAGTAATGATGCTTCCATGTTTATTCATCCAAAAAAACCCCCAAAAAACGAAAACAAAATTTTCAAAACAAAACAAAAACAGGAATTGAGCCCCTCCATCACACAAGGCACTCTTTGGGCACTGCTGGAAAAGAAAGATGAGTAGGGCATGCTTTTCAAGGCTGCCTCTAGCCTGCTGTCTGGAGAATTGAGCCATTCCTTCCACTCTATGCAGCTCAGGCCCATTTCACGGGGCATTTCACAGTCTACCTCAACTGGGATTTGCTGTGTACTTGTCCATTAAACTACCAAGGGTGAAACTGATTTGGGCCAAAATGGAAATGGGATTTGGGCAGAAAAGTAGAGGATCTTTTGCAGCAAGTTAGAAAGACCAGACTTGGAGGGGATAAAGATTGTTTAGCTGGGCTCTTTGTTAAAAATATCAGGGAAGTGGAGATCCACAGATGAAGGGATTTTTGGCCATGACCCCAGGCAAGAAGGTACACTCAACTCCATGTGCACTGGACTCTCCTACCCACAGACACTGTCCTCCTTGGCTTGGGCAGTCTGGGGGCACACAGACTCCAGAATAGAGTCCAGAGGTAACACTTCCTTTGCTCAGCTAAAACTCCATTTGTCCATCTCCTTTTCTGAGGTCTGTGCTCAGAATTTAGGGCACCCTACACCTCTAAGGAGGTATAGCACTATCTCTCAAAGGGACTCGGGATAATCTTTATAAAAAGTTGAGGAGGAGCCCCTCAAAATTCTCTGAAAATTCTCCTCCAAGCTACCTTGGGTGGACAGTTAATCCCCAGATAAATGAGGTGCTGTGATTCCCCTCTGGGCATAGCATTTTACATTCTTAGTTGTACAGGAGCTCAAATCTTCTTAAAGGCATATAACCACATACTCCAAGGAAAGAAGCTTAGAGCATTCCTCTTATACAGCTGATGTGTGCTAAAATGAAATTCTGATTGAGGCTGGACTGTCTGGTGTGGTTCCTGGTGTCTCACTGGCCTACTTTTTTTTTTTTTTGCCAGGACTTATATACCTGGATGGAGAAACCACAGACAGGGCAGGGGAGATGAGCTCAGGGGCTTGGAGGATTCCCCCTGGTAATTCATAGTGATGAAGACACAAGGTCTTACTGAGAGACAACACTGAATTTCGAGGCTACCACAAGCGTGCACTCCAGCTCTGTCTGGCTATCTGTGTGGGATACATGCTGAGGAGGCTACCCTCCCCTACTCCCAAAGCTGCCCACCACGACTCCAGAACCAGGCCTTAGTTGATTGGACCAGCAGCAGTCACCCGACTGTAGCTATACCAAACAGAGTCTTTCTTTCCATCACAGCCTCATAGCTCCTCCTTGTGAGGCCTCAACTGATTAGACCAAGAGTGGCCACGTGACCACAGGTGGGCTGATTAGAGTCTCTCTCTCTTGAAAAACCTGCACTAAAATTCAGATACAGAGCAGCTGTGTCTACTCATGGCTGATGAATCTGAAAGAAGTCTCTTCTCCTTATCCACAATTCAGAAGTCCAAAAAGCTCTGAAAACTGCAAGCATTTTCTTGCATTTGTGGCAAACGTATCTGGTAGCAAAACCAGCCTTGATGACATGAAGCTGTTGGTAGTATTCAGTATCCCAGTTAGAGACTGTTCATGGGTTCCATCCCATCCCTGAAGAAAGAGGCATCCATGTGCTTCCCTGGACGGTGGGGTGCTCCTTGGACCACACTGGTAGTATTAATACATGGTTGATGCACTGTTGTTACCTAATACCAAAAATGGTTTGGCCATATCTGGCCCCAAAGGATACAGACAAAGGATGAAGGTGTTTCGGGCCACCCATCACTCTACATGTGGACAAGTTATGTGAAAACCAATTTGCAGTTCGAGGCAGGAAGAAATGACTTGCAAACACAAACTGTGGTGGCATGGAGAAAGGGTTCTGATTATTTTCCAAGGCCCTTTCCTCAGATCCCAGCTCTTGGGATCCAAGACCCCCTGCATATTTGCAACAACTTCTCTCTTTGTCATTAAGCGCCTCCAGTCTGCTTGGCTGAACTGGAGTTGAAGTGTCCCTAACCATCATACGCACCATATCCTGGAAGACTCAGACCCAGAGGGGGTTTTGCCATGCTTGAGAGGGGCTGGGAATGCACCTCTATGCTCAGCCTCGGCCTTGGCTGAGCCCTCTGACACTTCAGTGGGCACGTGGCCTGCTGGCTTGGGCAGGAAGGACTAAACTCCTAAAGATTTCCATTTAAATGAGATTCCACGGGGAAAGCAGAAATGGGGTGGGTTTGGCAACAGGCCATCTCCATGGGTTTCTCTTTAAAGGCCTTCCCACTTAGACCTATTTTCTAAGGAGAGCCTTTGTCTTCTTTCAGAGGTGGTATGGATTTGTGGTCCTGAGCTCTCCCTTGGAAAATCTACCTCTGCAAGAATTCTTTTTTTTTTCTTCAATAAGAGAAAAAAGAAAAAAAATATAGCTTCCCCTTTCTTGAACTATGCGTCACTCGCCAAAGAATTCCACAGTGATAGCAATGCTATGAATAGGGCAGTCATAATGGGCTTCGAGAGAGCCCAGAGCCCAACCACAGGAATCGTTCCCATCACAGCTGAGCTAGAATTGTGCCTTTTATAAGCTGAGTTTTGAGAGGAACAAACTTATAATCTGTATTCTCCCCATGCCCTCTGAATTGGCCATTTGTTATTTTGTTTTCATCCTTGTGAAATGCTCCTTTTAAGAGTCTCTCCTTCAAAGACAAATGCTTACTGCCCATTAGCTGTCCTTATCAGATAGGGCAGCACTTCTCAGATCAAAAGCAGTGGCACTCTGGCTATAATTATTTATTGCTTTGGGAGAGAGAAATGAAAAGCAAGTGGGTCAGAACACATTTTGAACCTGGTAAGTGAACCCAGATAGCTGCCCCACGAAGCTTCCTGGGTTGGGGAGCTGGGGCAGACATCAGTTTCAGCCACTGTGATGATAAGGGAGCCGAGGAGCTCAGTGATCCAAAAGTGGTTACAAGTAAAATAGAAGTTTAATCTGGACTTGGAGAAATCTATGGAAAACCAGACATTTACGTGGGATTTCTGCATTGAATTTCAGGGGAACTGAAAGCTGAAGCAGAGCAAGGAAAGAATAACAATAATAGTGTGTGTGCAGTCAAGTGGAAATGGGGATGTAGCAAGTCCCTCTTGGATCTGATCTCTTCTTGCTCCTGACAGCAGCAGAGGACATGACAGAGGACCTAAAGCGTCTTCATCCAGCAGGCTGGAATGGCTGATGGTTTGGAAACAAGGCTGCTCCTCATCAGAACCCATAACTGCACTGGAAACAATGCAGCTTCGGCTGGGGCTCGCTTTCTCCCGATCAGGGGTCCGAATGTGCTCAAGACATATGGAAGCCTCCTGGGTCTTCCTACACCAGAGGAATGGCCTGGCCGAGAGCAGTGAGGGTCTTGTGTGAGTCCCTGCCTCCAGCTGCACATGTTCCTTTTGGGAGGGCAGGTCTTCTCGCTCCTTTGTCTGCAGGAAAAGCTGGAGGGTATGTAGGCTGCTCTTCTTTTGAAGTCTTGGTTAGGCAATGGTGCATCTACTATCACACAGCTCTAACAAGTGGTTTTCTTTTTAAAAAGGAAAAAGTCTGGGGAGCTCCCCAGTGCTTTTAAATGAACCTGTGGCTGAGCGGGGTGGTGTATTATCTGCTATGATTATAGAACATCCCACGTTACTTTACAGCTCAGTTCAAGGCTAATGGGTTGCGTTGCTAGGTTCAAAGCTGCAGGTCTGGGGCCTTTATTTCCTGTGATGCCTCGGCCTACCCCCACAGAGCTATGCACACTTGAACTTCTAACAACAGACTGCAGAATATAGATTTCAGAGGTTCTTCAAGCCACAAAGAAGAAACCTAGGACTTGGCACAGGAACCTCATTCTCCTGCAAAAGACTTTGGAGACCGTGTAAAAATCAGGCACAGTCACCGTAGTTCTTATTAAAGCCTCTTCACTTGACACTTATGAAGTCATGCTCTTATTCTGTCTTACTCGAGTAGTGGAAGCCAGATGAGAGGTAGTGATTTTCTCAGCCAGCTCTTCTGGAACTGGGGTCCCTCCCTGCTTATCAGCTGCAGGAACTTAGACATGTCATGTAACCTGTAACCTCTCATTTTTGCATGGCTCATTTTACAGAGTAATTGAAATAATGTATGCAGAACTAACTTGTGCTTGGCATATGGTGTGCTCAACAAATAGGACCATATAGTCATCGTTACAATGTAGTCTTGTCTCCAGAAGATGAAGAGAATTTTAAGTGTAAAAAGCTTTGAATGAGGCCATGGGGGTAGGCAGTCCTTATCAGCCACAAATAAACATTACAAATCTTACAGACATGATATACCACCTAGAATGTGATCAACTGCTAGAAATGCTTCTAATGGCCCATGGGGCAGACTCCTTTGATTTGGGAGAAAGCTCTTGGAAGGAAAATTTGACCTGTGCCTATCATCATCTTTGAGTTATAACTGTCCTCCACACCCTTTTTTTTTTCCCCAAACACCATAGTCAAGGAGTAAAAGTCAACCCGAAATGAATCAAGAAAAGAAATGCAAGAAAGCATCAATGTTGTAAAAAGAGAGAGCAGACACAGAAACCCACTGTCCTGTTCCTGCAGAGCCTCGTTCTCTTCAAAGTTGGCCCTGGGCCCCTCAGCACGTGGCACTAGGCAGCAGGCTGCCAGCACACCTGCCTTGCTGCCAATGGGGGTGCAGGACAATTCTGGTCTGTTGCCTGCCTCACAGCTGCTTTTAAGAACTCTCCCAGGGCTGGGTCATCCAAGTTCAACACCACTGCTCGAGAAACCAGTCCACTGATGATTGGGGCAGCTGGACTGGGGTATCCCATTCATTGGATGGACTGCTGGGAAGGGGGAAACCTGTGGATTTTCCTAGGAGGTGTTTACATTCTCGGAGGAGAAGGTGGTGGGGGGACACTGTGAAAGGACGTGCCATATGCCTTTACCATCAACCACTACTGCTGTCAGCAGGCCCTTCTTGTTGCTCAGGCGGTCGTGTGTCTGGCACTGCTGGTCTCGGAAGCTGGGCAGGCCCTTGGGGCAGGGCAGGTTCTCGCAGACAGCATGCTCCACACTGGCTCCCAAGCAGTGAGTGCCTCCTGGCCCAGGGCTGGAAGAAAAAGAAAGGTCTTAGTTAACTAGACAGTGCTGTGGGAACAGCAGGGGTGCTGTTTGCCTCTCTTGCCCAGAGTGGGAGGGGCCAGGCAGAGTTTCCAAAGCAACCTCCCTCTGCTCTTGCACATGGTATCTCTGCAATCCCAGCCCCGTGCTGATGGCATGTTGAAGTGAGCCGTCAGCAAAATGCATCCAAGAACTGTAAATCAGGGTCATCTGGAAATAGGATCGTGTGAGTATCAGTTCAGTAAGATCCACAAATTGCGTCTTTCATCTGAACTTAAGACTTGGCCACTCGTAACACTGAAAATGCCAAGGGGAATTTTTTGTGTGTGAGTTTTTTTTGTTGTTGTTGTTATTGTTGTTTTGGTCTTCTATAAAGCAAAGACCTTTAAATGGCTCCTAGGTATACTCTGGGGTCACTAAATTTGAGGACGAGTAAATAGTTCTCCTTTACTTTAGAATGCAAAGAATCAGAATGATTCATTAACTTACTCAATGGCTTTGGGTGGAGACCTGTCAGATCCTGTCTCTGCAACCTTTACTTGGGCAAGTGTGAGACCACAAGTGATCAGAAACACGTCCTCTGTCCCAGATGCTCTGTGCTTAGTATGGGGATCTAAGCAGTTCTGGAGAGCCAGATGTGTTCTCTGGCCAAGACCAGGTGTGTGACCAAAACACTGGTGTGGCTGGCTGAAATGTGGCTCTGTCCAGCTCTTCCATGAGGGCCTGGGGTGTCCTCACAGGACTCTGACCTGAGCAATCTCATTGGTTCCCTTTATTTTCATGATGCCAAAATTACCCGGTTGGAGTGTGACTGTTTTCTCTCCGTACTTTTTATTAAAATTCGGCATACAAAAGAATACAAATCACAAGTGTTTTGCTCAATGGCTTTTCACAAATTACATATACCTGTTGGCAGGACAATATTTTTGACATGATAACCATTTCATATTGAGTATTTTTTTCCTCCCTTTGCCATTCCTTGTAATCAGACAATGAGGCTGCCCTGTGATCACTGCTTTAAGGGGAGAGGTATCGCAGGAGAATTCCTTGGGCTTTTGTGTTACAGAAGTCTACACAAGGAGTCCACAAGCTTTTTCTGCAAAGGGCCAGATGGTGAATATTTCTGGCTTTGTGGGCCATGCAGTCTTTTGCAATTACTCAACTCTGCCGTTGTGGCACAAAAGTGGCCAGAGACAATGCATGGCATTGGCACGGCTAAGCGCCAATAAAACTTTATAAAACAGGTGGCGAACGAGATTTAGTCCATGGGCCATTGTTTCCTGGCTCCTGGTCTACATAAATGTGTTGGAGAAAGTGTCTGGAACAGGAAGAAAGGCTCTGCTCTTACCTTTATGCCCACCTCATATACACCAGACAACCTCTCCCTCACTTGGGAGGGAGCCTTGAGAGATGATCCACACTGGTGACCCCGGAGAAGGGCCCTGCATTCTGATCTCCAAGTTAGGAAACAGCAAAACCTCTTTACGGTTTATGGGATCTGAGAACAGAGGGACCTTTTGTTCTTTTTCCTTCCCAGAACACCAGGGAGGAAGCTGGATCTCGGAGAAATGACTGCATGGCATGTTTGTGTAGACAGAATCTCGGACCACCTCCCCAAGAGTCCTGGGCCTGAATGCCAAGTGTGGAGAGATGAATGGACTCCTGTGCCACAAAACACAGTGTGGAAGAAACAGAGAGGGGAAAAGCCATGTGGACCAGCAGGAGGGGCATCTCTGAAACAGGCAAATTCCCATGGCTGGGACCAGAGAAGGCATGGGTGAGGCAGCAGATGCTGTATGGTGAGAAGTTATGGGTTGAATTGTGTCCATCCTAAAATCATATGCTGAAGGGCTAAACCCACTGCCTCAGAATGTGGCCTTATTTAAAAATAGGACCACTACAGATGTAGTTAAGTAAGATGAGATCATACTAGAACAGAGTGAGCTCCTAATCCAATGTGACTAGTATTGTTATAGAAAGGGGCAATCTGGAGATGGAAGCACAGAGGGAGAACACTATGCAAAGATAAAGACAGAAATTGGGGTGATGTTCCCACATTTGAAGGAATGCCAAAGATTACCAGTAAGCCACTAGAAGTTAGGAGAGAGGCATGGGACAGATTCTCCTTCACCGTCTTCTGAAGGAACAACCCTTCCAAGACCTTGATCTTGGACTTCTGGTCTCCAGAACTAGAAGGGAATAAATTTGTGTTGTTTTTGCCACCCAGTTAGTAATAGTTTGCTATGGCATCCCTTAGAAGACAGATATACCAGATGATACAAGAATCAGATGCATCCTCACTGAGTTTAGTTGTAGACTTAGGGAAAATGATGCAAAAACTCCTCAAGTGATTAGGAATCCAACCTGAACCAGAACGGAGTTCAAAAATACAAATTAAAAAACATCAAGAGTACAAATGCAAATAAAAATTGGTTTCTAGAAAAATGAAGAAAACAATGTTTTCTAGTTAGGGTGTGAATTGAGATGTGTGCATCTCGTGTAATTAACTTCCTGGGTTGTCACTAGGCTTTAGTTTCCACTGTACCCGTCACTAGCAACTGATATTCCTAAATTTATATCTGACTGACAACAATGAACAAACTACCTTTATGCCTTGTAGCAGGTGGGTGGAGAGTTTATATATGAGAAGACAACTCCTGGATCCAGCAGAAAGTGGGCCTGCAGTGGCGGTAGCCCATGGGAAACCTGATATGCCTCAGGGTGCTTTCCTTCTCAACTGTTCACCTGTTTCTTCTCCATTTCCAACCTTCTCCCATGGGAAGATCCTGCTTCAGACCCTCATCTAGCCCACTGCCTCATCTTCCCCAGCCATCCTCCCCACCCCCCCAGTCTGTCCTTGAGGCCCTGCAGCATCTTTTTATTTCCTATCTGGTGCCTCTCTTGACCCTGCTTGGGTCTCTGGTATGCTTCTTATAATCAACCTTGTGAAATGGTGAGGTAGATTATTGCCTTCCTTCTATTTTTCTGCAGCTTTTCCGCAGAGAACCTTGCACAGGCTAGTCTTCAACAAACAGTAGTTAGAGTGAGTTGAACTATATTATCAAAATTTATCTTACTATGACTGAGAGACTAAGGTCAGGGAAGATAGTGGAGTAGGTAGCATCAGGAATCCATCTCTCCACTTAGACAATTGTATTGGCAAAAATTATCTGAAATAACTATTTTGAAATTCTGGAGTCTGTTAAAAAATGTGCCACCTCCTGAAAAAATCTTGGCAGGTAAGGTGTGGTTAATTTAGATAAATTTCAGCCTTTATTGTGGTAGTGGCTGTCTCCCACACTTCAGCCGTAGGGTAGGTAGTTGTACCTGTATGCCTGGTATGACTGGCTGGAGCCAGGGAGGACAATAAGAACCTCATTCTCCAAATACTGGGGTTCTATGTTCTGATTTTTCAGTGCTGCTTCTGATTTCTGAGGTATGGGAATAGAGGGTGACCAACATTGTTGCAATTCCAATGAGCTGAAGGGACTTCCAGGGACTTTCAATGAGAAATACCTTTTTTTCCCCCCTCCTTTGGAAGCCAGATATGTAAGGACTAAGTCATTTAAAAGCAATTACACATTTGAGAAAATTTAGAGAGCCATCAGGATTGTCTGGAAAAGATGAAGGCTAGAAAAGTCTTGAGAAGACCTTATGCTTTCACTTTAGGTTGATCCCCAGCACAGAGAAACCTTTAACAACAACAAAACAGCAAATCCTGGGAAAGAGGGAAGCTGATTATCAGAGATACATTATAAGATTTGAATGTACAGTTTTCAACAACAACAACAAAATCACAAGGTATAAAAAGGAAAAGAAAGGTATGGCCCACTCAAGGTAATAAAATACACTGGCAGAAACTGTCTGAGAAAACTCAGATATTGAGCGTATTATGTAAAGACTTAAAACAACTGTCTTAAAAATGGTCAAAGCACTAAAGTATAATAGTGCTTTGAATAAATAAAGACAGGAAAATGATGTATGAGAAAAATGATAGTATCAATAGAGATAGAAATTATGAAAATGAAAAATTATTTCCAGGGTTTAAAAATATAATAATTGAAATGAAAAATTCACCAGGTGAGTTCAAAAGCAAATTTAAGCAGGCAAAAGAATAAATCAGCAAATTTGAATATAGGGCAAATGAAATGATTAAGTCTGGGGGTAAAAAGAAGAATGAAGAACAGTGAACAGAGGGGATGTGTGGTAAACTACTAAGAGGACCAACATATACATCATGGGAGTTTCAGAAAACAAAGAGAGAGAAATAGAACATTTGAAGAAATAATGCCTGAAAGCGTCCCAGATTTGAAGAAAGACATAAATCTGCATATCTAAAAAGCTTAACAAAGTCCCAGCAGAATAAATTCACTAATACACTTTTCAATTAAACTGTCAAAAAATAGAGAATCTTGAAAGCAGTAAGAGAGTGGCAACACAACACATATAAGAGAATCTTAATAAATTATGAGCCTATTTCTCATCAGAAACTTTGAAGGCCAGAAGATAGCAGATCAATACATTCAAAGTTCTCAAAGAAAAAAAAAACCTATCAACTAAGATTCTATATCCAGCAAAACTGTCATTGAAAAATGAGGGAGAATGTCAGACATTTCAGATAAATTGAGGATGTTTTTTGTTTTTACTACCAGACATGCTCTACAATAAACACTAAAGCGAGTCCTTCAGGATTCAAATGAAAGGATGCTAGATAGTGACTTGAAGCCATATGAGGAAATAAAGATCTCCAATCAAGGAGGTATGATGCTAGGCTTTGTCAGTACAAGGTACTAGAGAGACACAGAGAAAGAACAGACTTTTGTCTCTGGTTATGGTGTTTAATTTCTCTCAGCAGAGTACTGTGGTAGCATGTGATGCATACCACCTCCCTCTGAGCAGCTTCATCTCAGAGGGCAGCATCTAAGCATGCCAATGCTTTGGGAAAATTCTCATCCTGGTTTCAGAAGCAGTTTCTCCCCTTGGACAGCT